CACCTGGGTGGCTCAGTCGGTACGCATCTGCCTTCAGCTCAGGTCATGGTCCCAGGATCGAGCCCTGCATCTGGCTCCTTGTTCAGCAGGGAGCCTGCTTCTCCCTCTCTCTCTGCACGCCCTGCTTATGCTCTCTCTCTCTCTCTCTAACAAATTAATTAATTAAAAATAATAATTAGTTCCAAATGGAAGGAAGTAGTGAAATTCTCACCCAGACCACATGAGAATCACCTATAAGCTTTTATTTTACTTCATTTAAGATTTTATTTATTTTTAAGTCATCTTTACACCCAAGGTGGGGCTCAAACTTACAACCTCAAGTTCAAGAGTCTCATGCTCCACTGACTGAGCTAGCCAGGCACCAACCTGAGAGCTTTTAAAAGAGACTCATCCCCTGTGTCTTCCCCAAACAATGAAATCAGAATCCCTAAAGTGGGATCTGGGGGCTCCGTATCTGGCAGCGCTCTAAATTAACGTACTTAACAGGCAAGACTAACTTTCTGAATCTACCACCCCTCATTGGAGCTCAAATGTTCAAATCTCATTGCTCAGTAAAACAGAAAATTCACTATACAATAAAATCATCCAAATCTGGCCCACTGTGAGTATAAAATATAACCAGCTCAAAAAGTAGCAAGTTTGGGGCGCTTAGGTGGCTCAGTCATTGAGCATCTGCCTTCTGCTCAGGTCAGGATCCCAGGGACTGTGTTGGAGTCCTGCATTGGGCTCCCTGCTCTGCAGGAAGACTGCTTCTCCCTCTCCCACTCCCCCTGCTTGTGTTCCTTCTCTCACTGTGTCTCTCTCTGTCAAATAAATAAATAAAATCTTGAAAAAAAAAAAAAGTGGCAAGTTCTACTAAAGTTAATCATAGGTCAGTCCTCTGACCCAGGAAGTCCTTTCCTTGGAATTGAGAGCAATGTCCACCAAAAGATTTGCATAACAGCCTTCACAGCAGCCTTGTTCTTCACAGCAGCCCCAAATCAGAATCAGCCATCAAAGGGAAAATGGGTAAATTATCATAAATTCACACAATAAAATGCTCTACATTTTGGGAAACCACAGCTGGTACATGAAATTTGGCCTGTCATCTGCTTTTGTATGGTCCGAGAGCCACGAGTGGTTTTTTTATGCTTTTTCGTGGTTGAAAAAAAAAATCAAAATAAGAATGGTATTTTAAAACACATGAGAATTCTTGAAATTAATATTGCAGAGGCCAGAAATCGAGTTCTGCTAGAGCACAGCCATGCTTATTCATTTATGCATTGTCTCTGACTGCTTTCACGCCAACAGGGACTATATATGGCCTGCAAAAGTGAAAGTATTTACTGTCTGGTCCTTTACAAAAGGTGTTAGCCAATCCCTGGGACAGAGCAACAGAAGGAAAGACTGCAACCATACTCAACGTGAGGAGGAGTGAAAGAAGCCAAAACACCAAAGAGCCCACATGGTACGAGTCCTGTTTCTGAAGTCCAGAACACATGGAATTAATCTAGGATTAAATAAATCGGAAGAGGGGCCCCTGGCTGGCTCAGTCAGTAGAGCATGTGACTCTTGATCTCAGGGTCTTGGGTTGGGGACTGGGGATGGGACTTACTTTAAAAAAAAAAAAAAAAGTAAGAAAGAAAGTTACTAAGATTGCAAATCTTCAAAGTCCTTATCATAAGAAAAAAGAAAAATGTAAAAATGGATAAATAAGTCGGCAGCTGGTTTCTTGATGGGGGTGTTGTTGTCAATGGCCAGGAAGAGGGACAAGGAGGCCTTCTGGAGAGATGAGTTTGCTCTGTATCTGGATCTTGGCAGTGGATATGCAAGTGTAAACATATGTAAAAATTTAACAAGCTGCACACATACAAAAGGCACACTTTCTACTGTATGACATGCATGTTACAAGTCAATTCTTTTAAAGTGGATGGAAGAAAATGAGGGAGAAGTGTGACCATCTCTAAAGGTTTATAAAGAACTCAGATGAAAACCACACCAGGGGGGGCGCCTGGGTGGCTCAGTGGGTTAAGCCGCTGCCTTCGGCTCAGGTCATGATCTCAGGGTCCTGGGATCGAGTCCCGTATCGGGCTCTCTGCTCGGCAGGGAGCCTGCTTCCCTCTCTCTCTCTCTGCCTGCCTCTCTGCCTACTTGTGATCTCTCTCTGTCAAATAAATAAATAAAATCTTAAAAAAAAAAAAAAAAAAGAAAACCACACCAGGGGCGCCTGGGTGGCTCAGCTGGTTAAGCGATTGCCTTCAGCTCAGGTCATGATCTCAGAGTCCTGGGATCAAGTCCCACATCGGGCTCCCTGCTCCTTGGAGTCTGCTTCTCCCTCTGACTTTCTCCCCTCTCATGCTCTCTCTCACTGTCTATCTCTCAAATAAATAAATAAAATCTTAAAAAAAAAAAACAAAAAAACCACACCAAACACCAAATAATCATAAAGACAGATGCTAACAAGTGTTGGCAAGGATGTGGAGAAACTGGGACTTTTTTTTTCTTTTTTAAAAGATTTTATTTATTTACTTGACAGAGATCACAAGTAGGCTGAGAGGCAGGCAGCAGCAGGCTCCCCGCTGAGCAGAGAGCCCGATGTGGGGCTCGATCCCAGGACCCCGGGACCATGACCTGAGCCGAAGACAGAGGCTTTAACCCACTGAATCACCCAGGTGCCCCTCTTTTTCTTTTTTCTTTTTTTATTTTAAGACTTATTTATTTATTTGAGACAGAGGAGTGGGGAGGGGCAGAGGGACAGAGAATGCTGAAGCTCCCGTGGGGGCAGCCTCTTTATTTCTGGAAGCCCTTTTCTGATTTTATTGTATAGTGAATTTTCTGTTTTACTGAAATCAAGAGCTGCTTAACTGACTGAGCCACTCAGGTGCCTGGAAACTAGGCCTTTCATATGCTGTCCATGGGAATATAAAATGGTGTGACCACTCTGGATATTAGTCGGTCAGTTCCTTCAACTATTTTTTTTTTAAGATTTTATTTATTTATTTGAGAGAGAGAAAGAGAGAGCGTGAGCAGGAGGATGGGCAGAGGAAGATACAGACTCCACGCTGAGCAGGGAGCCCCACGTGGGGCTTGATCCCTGAGCCCAAGGCAGACCCTTAACCGACTGAGCCACCCAGGGACTCCCCCACCCGTTTTTTTAAGTAGGCTCCACACCCACCATGAGCTTGAACTCACGACCCTGCAATCAAGACCAGAGCTGAAATCAAGAGTCGGACGCTGAACCAACTGAGCCACCCAGGCTCCCGAGGTCCTCAAACTATTAAACGTAGAGTTATTATTTATTATTTTGATCTAGCAATTCCATCCTGTAGATACATCCAAGAGAAATGAAAACAGCCACAGAAAAGCTTGTGCATGAATATTTATAGCAGCATTATTCATAATAGTCCAAAAAATGGAAGCAACAGAAATGTCTATCGGCTGGTGGATGCATGAATGAATGAATGAATGAATGAACAAGGCGTATTCCCACAGTGGAGAGTTACTCAGCCATAGGAAGGCATGAAACACTGACACCCGTTACAAAGATGACCCTTGAACACTTATGACAGAAGCCAGTCACAGAAGATGACACAATATATGATTCCGTTTCTATGAAACACCCAGAATTGGTGTTTCCTGGAGAGATAGAAAGTGGATTTGTGGTTGTCGGGTGAGAGGGGAGGGGGCCGGGGTGACAGCTAAGGAGCATGGGGCTTCTTTCGGAAGTGACGAAGCTATTCTACACTTAACTGTGGTGATGGTGATTCAGCTCTGAATATACTAAGTCACTGAATTGTACACTTCAAATGGATGAACTGGATGGTTTGTGACTATCAGTTAAGTCGTTTGAAAAAAAAACAGACACGGAAGCTAAATCTGCCACAGCTAAACCCTTCGACATTCATTCAAAACATCGCTCGTCCAATCTCACAAAGGGCTCATCTTGACATGAAACCCCAACCACTGTTCACTCTTCTAAGCCTGCTCAGCTCAAGGAATGCTTGCTAGCCTCTGACACTCACGGACAGTGTACATAAAGTTACAAAGCACTTTTTCACCTGCTTCCAGAAAAGGGCTTCCAGAAATAAAGAGGCTGCCCCCACGGGAGCTCCACCCTCTGATTCCCCCCCCCAACACACACACAGAGCTCTCATCTCTAAATGCTCAGACTCAGATACACTGTCCCCATTTAGCAAAATCCTCTAACCTGGAGGTCAAGTCCCCCCTCTGTCACTTGCCCATTCTGTCCCCAAAGTCAACCCGACTCTCTCTGTAGCTTTAGCAAGTCTGATCGGAGAAAAGCCTGGTCAGCTATTTCTCCTCCCTCTGAGGGCAACTCCCCCCAGCGCCCTCTCCACTCCGATCTATTGCTCTGGGTTGAAATCCTGGCTGGAAACCTGCTGACCTTGGCCCGTGACAAAGATGGGAGAGGAGGTAGGAAACTTCAGACCCTTCCTGTGTGAGGCAACAGCTCCACCAAGGGTGAGGCAAGCAGGCACAGAGGGTGAACATTTAAGGAGGCGCTGGCTGGAAGGTGCCTACCCTGCCCTGGCGTGACCGTGACTGTGAGAGTAAGCGCCTCCTTAAATGTTGCACCCTGGGTGCCTTGCTCACCTCACCCTAGTCCTGGCCCTGGGCAACAGGATGCTCCTTCCTCTAACAGTGGCTCTAGAAGCCTGAGCTGGGATCTCTCTCTCAGCCCCAACCTCAGAATTCTAGCCCTCAATCAGCTTTTATAGAGATGTCAAGCCAAAGGAGTTGCCCCAAGGCTGTAGGAAACTCCGCAAATGCTGTTGACTTAAGGGGCTTGGCCGGAGACACACCTGCCCAGAGCCTCTTGCCCCAGTGCCCCACCTGGGTTTATGGCGCCCTCCTCCCAGAGACAAACTCAGGGATCAGGAGCCCCTGATCAGAGTTCCCTCCTACCCAGGGGCTCAGGAGCCCGAGCCCTCAGCCCCCTCTTCCCTTGAGGCCAAGAAGTCCAGGCCACCACCCTCTCCGGACCCAACATCCAAACTCACAAAGCGCCCGAAGTGGATGGAGTCTCCATCCTCAATGTGCAAGTCAGCCTGGGCCCCACTAAGGCGGGAGATGACAGACTGGCAGCCGGGGAGTAGGGACCGGAGCAGCCCTGAGCCCGTAATGTGGTCCGCGTGGCAGTGGGTATTCACTGGGAGAGAGAGGAGAGCCTGGTCCAGAAGGGCTCAGAGAGGACGCAGGACTCCCAGCCCCCAACCCCCTCCTCCCTCAGACCCAGGGGTTCGGCCTCCAGACTGACCAGCATACAGCAGCCGCAGCCCCAATTCCTTGATCAGCTGGGCATCCCGAGGCGCCGTCTCCAGAACCGGGTCGATCAGAACGGCCTCGTGGGACTCTCTGTCACCCAGCAGGTAGGTGTAGGTGCAGCTCTTGGGCTCAAACATCTGGAAAGGGGGAGTGGGACAGGTGAGAGCGAAGAACGAGACTCCCACACACGGGGGGACTCAAGAGTCCGAGCCTCAACCCGATGCTTTTCCTAAGATCCAGGAACACAAAACCCAGCCCCTCCTTTCCCCTCGGTGTCCGGAGTCTGTTCCGTCTGAAACAATGAGTCCCAACTTCCAAATACCCCCCATATCAGGCTCACCATTAACCTCTCCCGTAAAGGACTCGGAGTCCTGCCCGAAGCCCACGGGATCCCCCAACTCTCGGCTTTAAAGGACGCCGGAGTCCCGCCCCTGACACCGTCCAGCGCCCCGTAGTCCCGCTGCGGGCCCAGCCTCCTCGCACCTGCCGTAGGAGGATGGGGACTCCAGAACCGCTGCGCTGGCTAAGCCGCCGCCCGGCGACCCTCAGTGTGGCCCCCGCCATCGTGCCCGCGGCCCGGTGGGGACTTAGTGGACGCCAGGCGCTGGCGGAAGCCGGGTGCCCCCTATCTGACCTGGGAGAGGCGGGGCGGGGCGGGGGCGGGGAGAGGGCGGGGCCCGCCTTAAAGGGGCCACGGGCTCTGGGGGCTCGGGGCTGTCTGGGGGTAGAGAATACAGAGACCGCGTAGACAGCAAGACCGGGAGAAGCGACTAACAGGGAGATACTCAAAAGGCTCAAAAGGCGAGGGAGAGACGCTGGGAGCGCCACAGACAGGGAGAGAAATAAAACCCCAACAAGAAGCCCCAATACACTTGATAGCAGGACTCCTAATGTATTCTTAGTGGTTTTTATCAGGAGAGAGAACGAGAGAGCCCCTCAGAGATAAAGGAGATGCTGAGAGACTTGAGAGAGACTTGGACTCCGAGATCCCAAGAAGAGAGACCTGGAAAGACTTTCAGAGATTCATGGAGAGATATAGAGTTGGAATGGGTTGTCCATCAAAGAAATATGGTCAGAAAGATATACTTGGAAATTCTAGACGATTATGAAAGATAGGAAGAGATGTTGGGACATTAGAACAAGGAGAAATGAGCAGAAAGAGGGAGAGAATCTCTCAGAGAGGAGAGAAACAGGCAGAAGGAAAGTTCCAAGTCAAGGAGAGAATATTGCTCATTGATTTCTCACTTGAGGGCTCCCGTGTGCCTGGCCCAAGCTGGGCAAATCTGGAGACCCAGAGGTGAGTCCTGTCCAGTTTGGTGGTGGAGAATGGCACAGACACTGGGGCTGAAATAAAGGAAGGTTCAGGGATTGCCAGGAGCTCAGGGGAGGAAGGAAACAGGAAAACAAGGATCCTCAGACCCTCTTTGCTGTGAGGGTCCCCCCAAAAAAACCTCCTCACTCCTGGGGCCCATTCTTATTGTTTTGGCAGGACTGCTAGACCCTTGAAGGCATGCACACCTTCTCAGTCAGCTGTGAGATCTCCTAAGAGGTAGAAGCCCTTCCCAGCTCTGTGACCTTGGGCTCAACACTTACCCTCTTCTGGGCTTCAGTTTCCTCCTCTGCAAGATGAGGTTGACAATAGCTCCTCCCTCACTGGGAAGATCTAGTAAGTTCAGACATGTAAAGAGTCTGAGAGAGCACGCAGCACAGAACAAGCTCTCGATAGGAGCCTGCTATCATGCTCTCGTCACCCTCCTTGACTCCTTCCTCCTCTGCCACCTCCTCCCTCTTCATCACTAGGCCCTGTTACATTAACCTCTCTGGTCAGGCCACTTCGCCATCATGCCCACAGCCCCAGTCAAGAGGCAGCAAAAAATACATGGAAATTGCATGGATTCCAGGGCCTGGCTGTGAGAGTTCAAATTCCGACCCTACTTCCTCCAGGCTGTGTGACCCCCCACTTTGTGCCTCATTTTCCCCTCTTGTGTGTGTGGGGGGGGGTGGGGAGTGGGAGGGCCTCCTCTTAAAAAGCCACTGCCAGGATGAAATGAAAGAATGTATACAAAGTGCCCAAGACAGTTTCAGGAATATAAAAAGTGCCAAGTAAATGATGGTAATTAATAGCGTAATTAATATATAACAGCCACCTCACTGGGCTTGTGGCTTCTCCTCTGCCTCCCTACAATCTATTTTATGCAGCAACCAGAGCGAACCTTTTAAAATGTCAATGACAAAGAGACTGAAGAATCACAGAAAACACACACAGCGTGCGGATCTTGTTTAGATCCCAATGCAGACACACCTAGTGTAATAAAAAGATACTTATGGGATATGATGTCACATATAGCTTCACAATCATCTGGGAGGAGTGGGTGGGAGAAATGAAACAACATGGGCCATCAGTAGAAAATTGTTGATGCTGGCGCCACTGGTATTATTAATGCAGAGAACAATTCTGTTTTCTCACACTTTCTGTATGTTTGAAAGATAACATTGTTCTGGAAAGGAAAAAAAAAAAAAAAAAGCACACACACAAGATATACAGGGGGCCAGGGGAGAAATGTGATAATGTAAAGAAATGACTCTAAAGTTTGAAAGTTTGGTAATGATACTTTGGGTTGTGTTTAAAGATAGAAAGAAAGTCCTTATTTTTTAGAGACACACACTGAAGTGTTTCTGGATGAAATGTGTGGAATTTGCTTCAAGGACCTTAAGGGGCAAGGGGACGATGAAATAAGATTTGTCATGATGAACCTGGGTGATGGGCTGGTGATGGGCTGATTATACTCTTCCTCTTCCTTTTGGTTATGTTTGAAATTTTCCATAATCTAATACAAAGTTTTTAAAAAAGAGTATATGAAAAGTTAAACTCATTCATGTCACTTCCCATATTTAAAACCCTTGGTTTCCCATTCAGCTAGGCCTCTTTCTAACTCCTTGACCTCAAGTTCTCCATTGTCCCCATCATTCTATCTTCCCATCACAGAGAGTTTATGGCTGTTAATGCTTTCCAGCATTTCTTTGATACAGAGTTATTGGACACCTCCTATGTGCTAAGCTCTGTTCTGGACAGAGTGATAAACAAGATAGGTTGTTCATCTTAACAGAGCATATAGTATAGAGGACAGGTATGCTGTGTTATGTAGGGAGGGAGATGTGACAACAGAGTAGTGGAGGGAAAGGGGGCTCCATGAGCTAGGGTGGACAGGGGAGGCCTTCTACAGTGCCAAATATTTGAAACAAGATCAGGTGGGGGGGGGGTCAGACAACCAATGTGATGGAGAAATGACCTTGGGGGGACAGAGAGAGCCACTAGTGCAAAGGCCCTGGGGTAGGACGGACCATGGGTATACCAGCACTGGAAATAAGGTAAGTTTGGAACATCGAGGTAGGAAAGATCCTCCGAACACAGCATGCTCTTTCCCACCTTGAGTTCTCTACACTTGCTGTTCTGGAATGACCTTGATCCCATCATGGCCTAGTTCAATGCACAATAAAAACAACAGGTAATACTGGTAGCATGTACTGACCACTGTAGGCACCGTTCTAAACTTTCCATTGATTATTGAATTTCGTCCTAAGAACCCAGAAAGGTGGAGAGACTTGGCCAAGATTACACAGCTAGAAACTGGCGGAGCCAACCAGTTACTCAGGCAGTCTGGCTCCAAAGCTCGAATAACCCCACCGTCTAACTCCAACAGCTCCCAGGACTCGCCAGACCTTGTGGGTTATCAGACTGAAGACCCACCCATGCAGGGCATTTTAATAGGCACTTCACGGTCACTCCCGTGGTGGGCGGAAAAGTGCACCATCACGGCACAGGGAAAGGTGCCAAGCGTGCCACCCTGGGCCTGGCTCCAGGAGCTCCAGTCCTCCCAAGAACTCCGGCAGTGATGCTTCGGGAACCGCCGCCCCCATCCCCACGCTAACACCAGAAACGCGGCATCGGGGTGGGAGGGACTGAGATTCTTGAATCACCCAATGACGAACGATGCCGGGGCGCTATGCAAATAACATGTTTTTCATTGGGCGTCAGCTTGCTCTAAGCCTAGCGTTCCGCCCCGCCCACTCACGAATTGGCCTGACTTCTTTGCAAACCCTTTGAGGAGTGAAATGGGCAGCGGGCTCTTCAAACTCCCTCTGGAGAGGGAACTCAAGCTGCCGACGGGATTCTCGAAAGGGAGGGTGTATAGGAAAGGAAGGCGCATATGTTGGGCACTGTCTCTGATCTCTAAGCTCAGTTTCCCCCAGTTAGGTCCTGCACGTGCTTGACTCCAGTCAGCCACCGTAGGCCCCGCAACCCGCAGTGTACTTTCTTACGACCCTTCTATCGGTAGCTCCGCGCTTGCTCACCAACTTGCCTGCCTTGCGCACCCACCCTTTCTTCCATTTCTTCTCCCCCGCCCCAGCCTCCGCTGGCTGCGACTGCGCATGCGTACTGACGCCCCACACCGGCCTCGCGTGGGAGGAGGGGATGGAAATGAGGCTGAGCTGAGCAGCTCACGCGCGCTCCCTCCCCTCCCGTCGCTGGGCACGCGGCCGGCGGTGCAGCTTTGCCAAGTCCAAGGGCAGCGCTGCAGCTGGGGCGGCCGCGGCGGGAGGGGCCTGGAGCCCCGCCCCCGGGGAGGGGCCTTCTGCAGGTGAGGAGGGCACGGGTCCGGGCCCGGACGCCTGGGTGTTCGGGAAGTGGATTGGGGGATGGACGCCAGGATCACCTTGAGAGGAATCGATTGGCGTCCTGATGCATAGGTTCCGGAGGGACTGCATTGGTGCCTGAGCCTTGGTTGGGTGCATTGGTGCCCGAATGCCATGATTCCGAGGCGTGCATTAAGGCCCGGACGCTTGGAACCCCAAAGGAAAAATCCGTTAGGGCTCTCTGGATCGCCAAGACACGCCACGTTCTTTCTGCATCTCCCTCTAGGTTTCCCCTCTACCCTCCACGCTGGGAATGAAATTTAGCAACGAGAAGGAAGCAGTTCACGCGGCGTCGATGGACTGAGATTAAACCAAGACTCGGGTAAAGCTACCTATTGGGAGGTGAAATCCCGCCCACTCCGCTCAGGCTCCTCCCCTGGGACAGAGTTCTAAAACACCCGTCCTCTCCGCTCGAAGGCCCCTACCCTGGGTCTGAGTTGCTTTGGGACCTGTCTATATAGCCTCGCCCATTCCCGGGTTCGCTTCCACGGCTGGGAGGTTCTGGTGGGGTAGGTCCCGTACATTCTAGAGGCCTAGCCAGCTCCGCGCTCAGGGCGGCCCCCAAGTTTAAGTAGTAGAGTACCCGCCACTCCGCTTGAAGGCTCCAGCGCCGGGTGCAAGGCGCAAAGGGTCAGGTTTGCATAAACCCCGCCCATTGTGCTCTTAGGCTCCGCCTTCGCATAGCCCCCGCCCCCGCCCCCGGATCCTAGGCTTAAAAAAACCTTGCTCTAAAGTGGACTGGTGCCTGATTTTAGTTCTACAGCCCTATCCCCATCAGCCTGGTAATCACCCGCATTGCCTACCTCTCTCTGGGTTCCTGGACCAGCAAGATGCTGGAACGAGATGCAGAGTCCGCCGCCGGGGACACCGATCCTAGTCCCACTGGCAAGGAACCAGTAACCAAGGGAGGAGGTGAGAGCGGTCCCGCCTGTGGGTAGGGGGGTCTTCTACAGGAACTGGGGCTAAGAAAATCATATTTTGAGGGACTCTCGGTGAAAGTTTGAAGGCCTAGGGTGATGACCATTTGGGATATTCCACAAATATGTTCTGGGGAATCCTACTATTGGCTTTGGGGAACTTCAGTGATTTTTAGGGCTCAGAAAATTAAGTGTCAGAGGGTTTGATATGCGGACTTTCAGGGTTTTCACTTGGGAATATACTAGAAACGGACACCCCAGTAGTTGCTTTGGGGTTCCAGCCAGGTAACCCTCCGGAGCTCCTTACGATGATGCATGGCAGAAGGTGGGGAATAGTGACTTGTCATTTGAGGAATCCCAGATGACATCTGAGGTTGGCTGGGGGAAGGGAAGCCTGGCCTAGATTCAGGGTGTTGGCTGATGCCTGGAGCCCACCAGCCCTCCTGTCCTGTAGCTCCCCCCCAGGGCTCAACGCAGAAGCCCAGCCAGTCGGTTCCAGGGCCTGCCTCGTCCGTGGGGGTGCCTTCCCCACCCCGTCGGCGGCCCCCACCCCAGCGCCCACACCGCTGCCCCGACTGTGACAAGTCCTTCTCGTACCCGTCCAAGCTGGCCACGCACCGGCTGGCACACGGTGGTGCCCGGCCTCATCCGTGTCCTGACTGCCCCAAAGCCTTCTCCTATCCCTCCAAGCTGGCAGCCCACCGCCTCACGCACAGTGGCGCCCGCCCACATCTGTGTCCACACTGCCCCAAAGCCTTTGGCCACCGCTCCAAGCTGGCAGCCCACCTCTGGACCCATGCACCCGCCCGCCCCTACCCGTGCCCCGACTGCCCCAAGTCCTTCTGCTACCCTTCCAAGCTTGCAGCCCACCGCCACACGCACCATGCCACCGACGCACGCCCCTATCCATGCCCGCACTGCCCCAAGGCTTTTTCATTCCCCTCCAAACTGGCCGCCCACCGCCTCTGTCACGATCCCCCGACGGCACCGGGCAGCCAGGCCACAGCCCGGCATCACTGCTCCAGCTGCGACCAGGCCTTTGGCCAAAGACGCCTCCTGCTCCTTCACCAGCGCAGCCACCACCAGGCTGAGAGCCAGGGAGAGCGCGAGTGAGTCCTCCCCTCGGCTCATGGCCCCCTCTGCCACCAGCTGGGGTCAGTGAAGAGGTGGCATTTTTAAGCTGGGCTGTAAGGACTTGCCTTGAGCAGACAGCTGTCAGGGAGACTGACTCCACACTGGGTTCCAGCCCAGAAGGCTTAGGAACAATTTGCTCACCTGTTTGGGGGGAGGGGAAGGTGTCATCCACAGAGACTTAGCGCTGGGCCCCAGACCACAGGCTTGGAGCTGTGGTTTGAAAGCAAGCCCTGACTCTGGTTCTTCCCTCCATTTATAAGGCGAAAGTAAGAAGTCTGCTAGCATCGTTGGTTGCTGAGGAATGTGGGGAAACGGGGTCTCTCCTTATTGTAAGTTAAATCGGTGCCTCCATTTTGGCCATTTGTCCATAAAAAATTTAAAACGCTCACATACTCGTGTCAACTATTCCACTTCTAGGAACTTACCCTATAGATAAACTCAAGCACTGAAAAAGGCATAAGGATGTTGGGAAACCACCCAAGTGCCCACCAAGAGGGGACCAGCTAATGAAACACAATACAGCCAGAGAACGGATTATGTTGCTGTAGGAAATAAAGGTCTCTTTGTCCAGTTTGGGAACGAGTCCCTAAATATACAAAATGAGGGGCGCCTGGGTGGCTCAGTGGGTTAAGCCGCTGCCTTCGGCTCAGGTCATGATCTCGGAGTCCTGGGATCGAGCCCCGCATCGGGCTCTCTGCTCAGCAGGGAGCCTGCTTCCTCCTCTCTCTCTGCCTGCCTCTCTGCCTGCTTGTAATCTCTCTCTCTGTCAAATAAATAAATAAAATCTTTAAAAAAAAAAAATAAATATACAAAATGATAAAAGCAAGAACAAAGGACATACTGCCAACAGTGTAAAAATTTTTAAAACTCAAGCTTTGGAGCCAGCCTAGACCCACTGCTTATGAGCCAAGGGACCCTGGACAAGCTTTGTCACTTCTCTGGACTCAGATGCCTTATCTATAACATGGGAGTGCTAAGAGGCCTTTGTAAGGGCACAAGCATCATCTCTGGCAGTCACTTCCCTTCTTGGAGCCTGTTTCTCCTGCTATAAAATAGGAATGAGCTAACAATGGACTGCACTTCATTTTTCAGGTGTGTATTAAGCCCCTGTAGCATGCTAGGCCCTGAGCAGGGTGGTAGGCACGCAGCAGTGAACAAGACAGGCCTGGTCTAGCAAGGGGGAGTGGGCGCCAGTCAATTGGGGGCCAAAAAAAAAAAAGGCAAAGAAGTCAACTCCATCTTGAAAAACAAAGTAGGGGAGGGAGCCTTGCTCCCCAGCCCAGGTACCAAGAATGACTTCAGAGTCATAGGAAAGACATCTGCGGTGTTGGCATGGGAACAGACGAGTGGAAGAGAACTGAAGGCTCCAAAATGGCCTTGTGCTCACAGGAGGTCCTGACAAGTGACTATCCCCACAAGTAGATCGGAGGTTGGCACACTTCTTCTGGAAAGGGCCCGATAGTATGTATGTTTAGGTTTTGCAGGCCACAGTGCCTGCCACAACCATCCAGCTCCGCCCCTGGAGTAAAAGAAAAGCCACACACATTATGGTATACGAATGAGTGTGGCTCTGGTCCAGTGAAACTTTACCAGAATTGTAGGTGAGCTGGAAACTGCCTATGGGATGTAGTTTGCAGATCTCTGCTGTAGGTGAATGGGGCAAGGACAGGCTCATCTGTGAACGAGCTAAGAGATCTGGAAGTAAAATTAAGTGGGATCCTGTAGAGGCAGAATAATGGACTCCCAGAGAGGTCCATGTCCTACTCCCCAGAACCCGAGTATGTTAGTCTACATGTGGCAGAAGGGACTTTGTATATTCGTGATTAAGGATCTTCTCTTGAGATGGGGGGATTATCCTGATTATTCCAGGGGGTCCAATGTGATCACGAGGATCCTTATATGAGAAAGAGGGAAGCAGAAGAGTCAGAGGCGATGTGCCGATGGAAGCAGACACCAGGGGGATTCAGGGCCATGATTCAAGGGACTCAGGCAGCCTCTAGAGACTGGAATAGATAAGGAAATGGATCCTCCCCAGAGAGGACACGGCATTGCAGACACCATGATTTTAGCCCACTGGGGCAGAAGTTGGACTACTGACCTACAGAATGATAAGCTAATATATTTGTTTTTGTTTAAGGGTACGAAGCTTGGGATAATTTGTTATGGCAGCAATAGGAAACGTACAGATCCCAACCTCATACCATACACAAAAATAAGTTTCTGGTGATTTAAGATCTTTAAACTTGAAAAATAAAATGGATGTAAGTAATAAAGGAGACTACCTTCGTAACCTCAGAGATACAGAAGGAATCCTTGAGACACAAGAAATGACCATCAGGGGCGCCTGGGTGGCTCAGTGGGTTAAGTAAGCCTCTGCTCTTTGGCTCAGGTCATGATCTCAAGGTCCTAGGATCAAGCCCCGCATCAGGCTCGCTGCTCGGCACAGAGCCTGCAACCCCTCTCTCTCTGCCTGCCTCTCTGCCTACTTGGGCTTTCTCTCTGTCATATAAAAAAAGAAAAGAAAAGAAAGAAAAGAAAAGAAAAAAGAAAGGAAAAGAAAAGAAAGAAAAGAAAAGAAAAAGAAGAAAGAAAGAAAGAAAGAGAAAAGAAAGAGAAAGAAAGAAAGGACCATCACAGAGGAAGAGAGTGGTAGATTTAACCATAAACCAAGTTATAACTATGACAAGATATATAATATTATATAGAGGGTTAGAAAAATCCTTTTTGAGGAGGTCGAGTTTTAGCTGAGATCTGAGATCTGAAATGAATGGATGGGATAAGATGGTCTGTGGAAGTATCCAGCATCAGGGGTGGCACTGAGCAGGCAAATGCAAATTAGCAGGCTGCTAGACCAGCTTCTAGCTAGACCCAGGCAACTGGGCAAGGCCTTGGGGAAATGTCGTGCGAGGGGGAGGGTTAAGTCCCTTCACACTCGAAGTCAGTTTCTATCAACATTTACGCACACAGCTGTCCTGGAAGATTTCCTCCAATGTTTCAGGGACACAAATGCATTTTGAGAGGTGTCAATCTTGTCTAACCGCCATGGTACAGATGGGGAAACGGGCCAGGAGAGATGGGTTTTGCCTGTACCCACATAGCGGGCCAGGGCTGAGCCAGGGGGGGTCCTGGGTCTCCGACACCCTGACCTCCCAAACTGGCTTGTACAAGTCAAGCCAGTTCCTGCCTGGGGGCCTTTGCACCTTCTTTTTCCTCTGCTGGGAATGGTTCTGCCAGACTTGCCCTCACTTCTCCCAAGTCCCAGCAGAGGAGTCGGTCCTCTGACATGCCTTCCCTGCCGACCCTCTCTGAACCACACTACCCTGTCCCATCGCTCTGTAACACTACCCTGTGTTCGTGCTCAATGCTGCACAACACACTCTCAGTCTCTCCCCCAGCAGTGTCAGCCCCCTGAGAGTGGGGCCTCATGTCTGTTTTTTCTTTTAAGATATCATTTATTTATTTATTTGACAGAGAGAGATCACAAGTAGGCAGAGAGGCAGGCAGAGAGAGAGAAAGGAGGAAGCAGGCTCCCCACCGGGCACAGAGCCCGATGTGGGACTTGATCCCATGACCTGAGCCGAAGACAGAGGCTTAACCCACTGAGCCACCCAGGCGCCCCTAGTGTCTGGTTTTCACAGCGCAGTTCCATGGATCTCACACACAGTAGGTACAGGAAGCAAAGTAACAGCCTCCCAAAGATGTCCCCACGCTGACCCCTGGAACCCAAGAATCTGCTTTGTGGCAAAGGAGAATTAGGATGGAAGCAATCAAAGTTGCTAATTGGCTCACTTTAAAACAGGGAGATTATCCCCGATTATCCAGGTGGGCTCATGGTAAACACAAGGACCTTTGAAGGTGGAAGGAAGGGACAGAAGAGTCAGCATCAGAGCGACGTGGCATGAGGAAGACTCCACTTGCCACTGCTGGCTTTGAGTACAGAAGGGGAATTGGGGAAAAGACAAGAAAGTATATTTCCCCCAGAGCCTCCAGAAAGAGCACAGCCCTGCTTACACCCTGAGTTTTTGTCCATTTTGGACTTCAGACCACCAGAACTGGAAGGTGATAAATTTCTGTAGGTCTAAGACATAAAGTCTGTGTAATTTGTTACTGAGCTCTGACTGCCCTTTGCTCTGCTCCAACCCCTTCCTCACCTCCCCAGCTGTGGGATAACGTCCAAGCTTCTCAACCTGGCGCTCACAGCCCTTCAGGACAGCCCTGTCCTTTTGCTTCTACGGTGACATGAATGTTCTTTATCTGCGCGCCTATTACAGCAGCCACTGCGCACTTGAAATGCGGCCAGTGCGACCGACAGAGTAAACGTTCCCTTCATGTCACTGGAGTTCATTCAGATAGCTACCCGGGGGGCACCTGGGTGGCTCAGTGGGTTAAAGCCTCTGCCTTCAGCTCAGGTCATGATCCCAGAGTCCTGGGATCGAGCCCTGCATCAGATAGCTACCCGGGTCCAGGGGCTACGGTGTCAGAGAGCACAGCTCTAAGGACTATGTCCATCCTTCCAGACAGATCTTGCCCTAAACCCTCTTAAACAACTGACCCTGGGGAGCCAGGCTAGTTCCCACCTCCTGGCCTCTGCCCGCGCCACGGCCCTGGCCTAGAACCCCGTCCTAGCTTCTGCCCGATTTTCTACCACCCCATTCAGTTTCCAACTTAGCTGCGGTGGAGGCTGACGGTTCTACAGCCACTTTTGTGAAAGTCCTGGAGAAAGGGAGATATCCCTGGCCCAGGGAAGCTGAGCCAGACTTCAGGAGAGAAACCCACCTCCCAAGATCCAGGCCTCCAGCCCGGGACCCACAGAGGGACAAACAAGACCCAGGAATGGGTTCAGAGGGCTAGAACCCCAGTTCCCTGCCACCTGGCACCACGGTAAGCGACCAGGGAGAAGTAACAGAGCTCCTTCCCTACCAAAACCCTGAAAGAGAGCTCCCCATTCTTCCCAGGACAGAGGTCTCAGGGTAGCCAAGATATCTGACCCTCAGAAGGGAAGCACAAACCAAACAGAGGACAGAAAGCTGGGAGCCTCGAGGAGGTTCAGGAGACTTCCGAGTAAGAGGGGCAGCTGCAGCAAACCAGGTCACCTTTATTAAGCTCGTGTGTGTGTGTGTGTGTGTGTGTGTGTGCGTGCCCGTGCACACACACGTGCAAGCACATATTTCAGGCCTGGGGCACCACCCCATACAGCTGGTGTGGAAGTAACTTCTGCTTCTCGTTGCAACTGTAGATCCACCGGGGGCGGACAAACACCAAGGAGGGGTTGTCCATCAGGGCCTGCAAGGTGGGGCAGGGCGCATATGGGAACATGTGAGTGAGGAGAGGAGGGAGGTGACACAGGGCAGGTTGGGTGTCCCTTTCCCTGCCCCTCTGGAACCTACCTCCTCAAAACTGGGGTCCCACTCCTGTGCTGTGATCACAAACTGGACCCGGTCGCTCATGTAGTCCTCAAGCTCCCTGGCAGGACACGGAAAGAAGCGGAGAATCAGTGTCCCCAACCATTCTCCAAGGTACCTGCGGCAGGCCCCAACGGTGCTCCCCTGTGCCAGCCTTGCCACAGCCACAATGCCAAGGGCTCCCACCACTGCCACTCCGTTTAGAAGGGGGGCCGGGAGGAGTCCCGTTTTAGAGATGAGAATGAGAGGGAAAGCTACTCGTGCCCACCCTGCATGATGTGCCCCTTCTCTGGCTCCCGCTAGCTTTTCCTCCCACAAGATAGCACCATCGCTCCCTACACCTGCCCCCACCCCTGCACACTGACCCGTTAAAGGCTGTGACATAGCGGCTGAGCTTCCGCCGTTCATCCCCAGGGAACTCTCCGTACAGGAAGAAGTGTTTGCCCTGGAAGAAGTCTGCAGGGGAGAGGGTGGAGGAGCCGAGTGTGAGGCCCCCCGCGTTTTGAAGCCCCAAGCAGGAGCCGCAGAACACTCGGAGCAAGACAGGAGGCTGATGCTGGGGAGGGGTGTTCACGCACTCCCGGCAGAGAGGTCCGGGACAGACGGTGCTTCACAGCCAGGCCCATCAGAACCTTTTTCCGGGAGCGGGGTGTTTTCCGGTAACTTCTCGGGCTCTGACCTTCAGGACGGCTCTTTTCTTTGTTCCATTTTAACATGGTTCTCCAAACCATGAAGTTTTGATGCCATTTTTAGAGCTTTGGAGGATCAAAGTGCTTTCCTGCCCATCACCCACAAGGAGCCGGATGGACACGGCCTCTTCCAATCACCACTCACCCTCCCCTCTGCTCAGACCCTGGCTGCCCAGCTTCTCCCTCTATGCTCTGCTGGCCAAGGCTCTGACCCCTGCCCCCATCCCACACCCCCTGCCTTCGTGTTGGGGTGACAAACAGCAATGCCATCACCACCTAGGTGGCCACAGAGATCAGTGCCCATGCCATCTGTGCACCTGGGTGACCTCCCACTCTGAAGAAACCAAGCCTGCAGGGCAGGTGAGGGAGGTGCCGTTCGTACTGGAGTGGAAAGCCAAAGGGGGACATGCCCAGCACTGGGCTGTGATGGATGTGGTCACAGCAGGAAGTCAGGAGGGGGAGCAGAGAGGGAAGGCATGGGAGGATGGATGCCTGTTTCCTAAGGCAACAAGAAGGAAGCAGAGGCAGGGAGTACAGGGGCAGGAGGTGGGGAGACAAGTCATAAGTCATGGGGAGCAGCTGTGATCTGAGGGCTGGCTGGGGGGGTCACAGCTGAGAATTGAGAAAGACAAATCCCACTTCGGGAGGCACGGAGGGGGTTCCTACCTGGGAGCTCGGGAACTGGCAGTTCGGGAGACTCTGGGGGACCCTCATTGTCTGTGTTCTCATCTGTGGATCCTGCATACGGGTCCTCGCCATTCTCCCCCTGGTCAGGGGGCTGCTTTTGCTCCCTCTGCTCGGCTACTCTGGGAGAGTCCACAGGGGTGGGGGAAGAGCATTCAGACCAGATCCCCCTCCACCCAAGCCTGGGGCCACCTCAAACCCCGAGCCCCACCTTACCTTCTCAGCTCATCCTCAGTATCCCCAGAATCTTCTGCCCCATTGCCCTGTTCTTCTGTGAGTGGGAGCTTAGTCAATGCAAAGCACGTGCTTGGTAACCATCCCTCCCAGTCTCCAGCCCAAGCACCGACACAGGCGCGCTAACCGCCGACCTCACCTGCCCTCCAGGTGCAGTTATCTGGGACCCCCACCCCCCTTAGATGCAGGAATCTGGGTTTCCAGCCTTCTCCTCCCTCAGACCTGGGAGTCCAGGCCCCCAGCCCCTCCTCCTCCCTCGGACCCAAGGATCCCAGCCCTCTCTTCCCTCAGACCCCAGAGTCCAGGACCCCAGCCCCCTCTTCTCTCAAGCCGAAGACCTGAGACGCCAGCCCCTCCTCCCTCAGACCCAGGCCCCTCAGTCTCTGACCTGACTGCTCCCCATCAGTGTCAGTGTCTTCCTGGGGTCCTGGTGAGGCTGGTTTGGTCTCTTCTGGGGTTTTGGGTCTCTGAGGTGAGCTGGGTCCTGCTGCCTGAGGGGGCTTGGTTTTGGTCTGGGGGCGCTGCGGAGGGAGGGAGCAGCCTGCGTGTGAGAGCGTGTTCTTGCAGAAGGCAGGGCTGGAGAGTCTGGGGTGCCACGGCGGACGCAGGGCCCCCTGCACTGCACCCTCCCCCACATCAGGGCAGGAGGCATAGGACCTTCTGGGGAAGCTTGGGGGCTTCATCCCCGCTGCTGCTGCTGTGAGAGCCCCCTTCGTCCTCGCTGCTGGAGCTTGGTCCTGCCATGAGGTACCTAGGGCAGGAATATGGGCTCAGACAAACAGCATATGGTGTCTTCCAGGGGAGATGGGGCGGGGGGCAGGTGCTCAGCAAGCCACAGCAACTGGCATTTACTAATCACTCAGGATGCCCTGGCCTCCAGCTCTGGACGGACCCCACTGAAGCCGTCGGTCAGCGCAGCCAGCTGCAACAGAGACCTCACCTCCGGGAGGGCAGTCGCCGCCGCATCCGGTGACAGTCCAGCACCCACTCTTTCCGCACGATGCGGCCTCCGAGGCCTAGGACCTGGCTGTACTTGGGGGTGTTGGCAAAGGCGCAGCTGGCGGGGAAGCAGAGGGGAGGGTGTGGTCAGTCAGGTGTGGTCTGAGCAGGGAAAGGGAGAGAGAGACAGGACGGGGGAAGAAGGAGAAGTCAGAGACAGAGAAAGAGACAGATCGGAGAGAAACAGAGAAAGACATTAGGAGACCAAGGGAAAGATGTAGGAATCAGAAAAAGAGGCAGAGGAAACAGAGAACTGAAGAGACAGCCAGATGAGTAGACAGGGAGAAAGAGAAATGAAGACGGAGGAGTCAGAAGGAGATGGGGAAGCGGCGGGGGGCAAGGTGGGGAGGAGGGCACAGGCCTACATAAGGTGGGTGCTGTCTGGAGTCCAGTCCGGCCGATACTTGGCCCCCAGCTCTAGGGCCTTGTCCCGGAGCTCCGAGCGGAAGGGGTTCTGGAAGCCACTCAGCACCACCACCACACCCTGAAGGATCTTCCCCAGCTCCTGCGGGCCAGCTCGGGGTCCTCTGGGCTCAGTGCCTTCTCGGGACTTTCCTGGCACTGTGCCTCGTGCTGGGGCAGGGACTGGGGTGGTGGCCGGGGTGCGGGTGGGAGCTGGCACTGGGGAGGCCAAAGAGTGGATTCAGTTAGTACTGCTGGGACTAAGCCCAGTCCCTTCTCCCCCACACCCAGGGGTCCTGCCCCCAGCCCCCTCCTCGCTCAGACCCAGGGGTCCTAGCCTCAGCCCCTCCTCCCTCGGACACAGAAGTCAGGACCTCCAGCCCCTCCTCCCTCAGACCCGAGGGTCCAGGCCCCCAACCCCTCCTCTCCGAGGACAGAAGAGCACAGGCCCCTTTGAGAACAAGGAAGCCAGCGCTCACATTTGGGTCTCTTGACAGCAGGTGGTGAGGGCTGGGCTGATGGTTTGCTGGGTGTCTTCCTTTCTTCTTGGTTCAAATCCAACTTTCTCTTCCCTTTGGGGGACTCCTGAGGCTGAGAGGTTGGGATGACCTGAGCCTCTAGCCTCTCTCTGCCCTCTCCACCCCACCAGGGTCTGACAGTCTCACCTTGGAGGTGCCGCCTACTGCCCTGGAGATGGGAGAGGCTGAAGAGGCGGCACTAGAGGCCTGCAGGGTGGCAGCTGCGTAGCTGGGTCCTGCCGGGTCACTGGCTGTGGCTACCGAGGGAGAACGTGGAGCCGGGGTGAGAGGGCTGGGCCCTGAGACCCTTCCACTTCTACCCAGGGGACAGAGTGTTGTTCCCAAAGCCCAGTAGTGATACAGGAGTCCAGGCCCCCAGCCACCTCCTCCCTCTGATTCAGGAGTCCCTAGGCTCCTTCTCCCTCAGACCCACGTCCAGGTTCCAACCCTGGGCTCACTGAGGACACCCACCTGGGGGCGTCTTATTGATCCGGCTGAAGAAGAGGGCGCCGGGTCTCAGGGAGTTGGCACCCTCATCCTCCTCCTTCACGCGGAACTGGCCAAGCTTGGTCACCTTCTAAGGTCTCACAAGGTCAGCACAGTGAGGGGCTGTTGGCAGGCAGGGGTGAAGCAGTAGGGAGAAGGCTCTGCGGGGTGGTGAACAGAGCTTACCTGGGGTGAGGCCTCTGCCTCCTCTTTGTCTGGGGGGCTGTGAAACCGTATAAAACTCAGGCCATAGGGGGAGTCCTGGGAACGAAGGGCGGGTGTTAGGAAGACTGGCCAAAGACAGAGGCCTGGCCCCAAACCCCTTTCACTTGGAGAGACCCTTTATGGCTCTTTGCCTCTTGTGGACAAACATGTCTAGGGAGGTGCCCAGGGGACAATGAGGACGATAATAACATCAAGCTGCTAGTGAGCCCTAACTCTGGGCCAGGCTCGGCTATAAGCCCTACGTGCACCAGCTCCGTCAGCCACGTGGCTGCTGAGGGTCTGAGCGAATCCTCTCTTGCACGCCCGAATTCCTAACCACAGAAGGGGAGGGAGCACTGAGTGCCACATCTGGGACACAGAAATGCTCTCCAGGCTCTTTTCCACTCTTCCGGCTGGACGCAGAGCCCAGGACCCTGGATGACTGGCCAAACACCCCGCAAGACAGGACCCCGAGAGTCTACTTCCACAGTGTGGTATCATGACATACTCGAGTCTTGCTATTACCACAGCTTAACATCCCTACCTCACGGCAACCCTACGAGGAGCAGGAAACTGAGGCCAGAAAGGTTAAGTCACTTGCCCAAGGTCACACAGCTAAGAAGTGGTGGACCCAGGCGTCTGACTCCAGATCCCATGATGGTAACTGTCAGACTGCTCCTCTGCCAAGTCAGCTGCCCCCTTCTCCCATTCCCCTGAGATCCTGCATGCGCCCTTCCCAGACATCCTCTAGGGAATCACCTATGGGAAGGATCACAAACCCGCTTCAGTGACCTCTGGGAACCAGCCTGCTCCTGATCCCCAGGGGAGACCGGCTGCCTCGTCCTCCCAGCCCTCTGGGACTCCATGCTGGCCCCGGACCGAGGACCCTGCGCCCCCAGCTCCCGCCCCAGGTACCTTGCTGTAAGGCTGGCTGCAAACGATTTTGACGCGGTCCCAGCGCTTCTCCGCTGCTGCCCGGACCAACTTGTCGGGCCCGAAAATGCGAACACGGTTGGGGTTTGAGCCACTGCGGCTCTCAGAAGGGGACATGAAAGATGAGGTGACCAGCAGGACCTGGGGGAAGGAACACTGAAGGAGAACCAGGACTGGCTGACTTCAATGACACCTCCCAGGGGCCGGGAAGAAAGCGGGGGCCTGGGCAGGGTCCAGAGAGTCGCCAGATCTGGCCTGCACCTCCACATGCCTCAAAACCTCTCTGCTCCCTTGCTTCTGGGCCGCCGGTCAGTTCCCCCCTGACACAGGCCCCGGGGATCCCTCTACGTCCAGGTCTCCATGAACCACAGCCCAGTTCTTCCACAGGCTCTTCTCTCACTGGCCACAGAGCCCACTCCACGGACCCTCCCAGCAGAGAATAATCACAATGGCTGGTACAATGCTCAAACACCTTTTGGAAACGCACGGCTGAGTTCACGGAAAGCAGAGCAAGTAGGAGGGAGGCCAGGCCCGGGAGAACGGAATCCAGGGGGCTAGGAGAGCTGCACCAGCTCTAAGTGGTTCTCCTGGGGCTCAGCACTGGGAGGCTGGGCAGGAACATGGCTCCTGTCCAGCCGCTCCTTCCCGGGGGCCCTGCCAGTAGGGGGAGCCACAGAGAGGTCGAGAGGCAAAAGGAGGGAGGAGAGATGCGCTTCTGTGCTCTGGCTTCTGGCGGCCCCTGCAAGCATCACCCCTGGTGCGCTTCCGCTTTGGCAGCAGCCCTCCCCAGGGCCGCAGGGGGATCTGGTTTCAGCATTTTAACATCTGCGGAGCTGGTATCATCCGGACCCTCTCAGGGATTCCAGCAGGTCTGCGTTTCAGCTCTGTGGAACCCCACTTCCGAGCTTCTAAACGTTGAGGTTTCAGGAATTCCAACCATGTCCTTTTGCTCCCCCAACCCAAGGGGTGGCAGCTGCTCCCCGCATTACTTCTACACGGCACCTGAGTCTTCTTGCCTCCTGGGTTCAATATATAGTTGCTAATTCGTTATGTTAAATTCTCTGTTACGATAACTGGTGTGGTTTCAGTTTCTTGGCAGGACCCTGACCCACAGGGCAGGTGGCACTGAGGTTAGTGTTTGCCTGGGCGCTGACTCTGGGTACCAGAGAATGTAATTTTAATGGATGGTGGGGGCAGGGTTGGTTGGGAACAGAAGATAAAGCCTGGGCTCTGGTCAAGGAAAAACAGTAGCTCCTCATGGACCATCACCCAACTCCAACAGAGCTGAGCCTCCTCAAAGGGCAACACTTTCCGTGAGTAAATTAGGGGAAAATGCCTTGTGGAGTGAGTCGGTGCGAGGCCTTTCCTCTGGAGAACAGAGATCTGGAAGAATCCTAAGCACAAGACTGTATTCTCAAGGATTTGGAGCAAAAAATTCACATGAACTATCTGCACGGAAAAACCCAAGCTGAAGACTTTAAGTGGTCCTGATGTGCGAAACAAAGGCAGAAAAAAAAATTCTTTAATTTCCTTACCACCTACAGCCAGCCCGCTGACAAGTCCTTGAGACAGGAAGAGTGACATTCCTCTAGGAACTCAGCTGCCTCAATGCTAATACTTTGTTAAGGACAAAAGGCCATCTCAGCCTGACCCCCGGGATCCTCTAAGTGTACTTTTTAAAAGATTATTTATTTATTTATTTGACACAGAGAGATCACAAGTAGGCAGAGAGGCAGGCAGAGAGAGAGGAAGGGAAGCAGGCTCCCAGCTGAGCAGAGAGCCTGATGCGGGGCTTGATCCCAGGACCCCGAGATCATGACCTGAGCTGAAGGCAGAGGCTTTAACCCATTGAGCCACCCAGGTGCCCCTCTCTAAGTGTACTTTAACAAATAAAAACTCCTTTGGAAACGTCCTTTATCTCTGTCCCCCGAGATATATGTTGGTAGTCATCCGCCAAGCTTATGACTCACTGATATATATCTGAAGAGTCACAGGACTGAGTTTTTACTAAAATAAATGACCTTTTTCTTAACAATAGCTAGCCCCCTCAGGATCCTGGAAACCTTGTTTCCAAAATACCTGGGAGGCTTACACTATCCCTAAGCCCTTTCCAACTTGAAAGTATATAATGGGCCACTCCTCATGACCCCAGTGCAGCTCTTTCTGTCCCCTGGGTCCTGTCCCCATGCTTTAATAAAACCAGCTTTTTGCACCAAAGACGTCTCTAGAATTCTTTCTTGGCTTGGCCATCGGCTTCAAACCCTAACATCTTTCCTCCAGCAGACCTGTGTACACAAGATCACCCACGCGGTGGCAGATCCTCTTTGGAGGAATGTACTTCAAACCAGGTCCTCAGACATTCCCCACAGACACATTCCCAAAGATCAGAGGTACACACGTACACACACACACACACACACACACACACACACACACACACTGTAAGGCATATGGAAACAAGCAGCAGAAACCACAAACTGCAGACTCGGACTCACAAAGGCTGCATCCATTTAAATTATCAAACACAATACAAAAGTACATTTAATAGTTTAAAGAAATAAATGGAGATCCTGACAGTATGATGAGGGGACAAGGAGAATCAAATGGATAAGGCAGTTCTGAAAAAGAGTGGAAGGCCTATGTGCCCAATACTGAAGGATAAGCCATGCCTGGTCCAAGCAGTGCAATTCTCTCTGCCAGTGGCTGGTCGGGGTTGGGGACATGACTCAGTTGGCCAATGTGATATTAAGAGGAAGGCTTCTGGTTCTTCTTATTTATTTATTAAGTAAGTAAGAAAATGTCTCTCTTTTTAGGAAATATCCGCTGTAGTGTACGGGGATAATGTGGAAATCATGTTTGCAACTTACTTTCAGTTCACTGAAAAATATGTACCCATGTGTTAACATCTGGGGAATCTGAGTGAATATTATCAGGGAACCCTTTGTACTACTTTTCTGTAAGTCTGGAATAAATAAAGTTATTGACAAACTGGTTTTATGATTTACATGGAAATAAATGCTAAGGAGCTAGAAGAGTCAAGAGACTACTGAAGACCAAGATGGAAGCCCAACACAATCTGATTCCAGTATTTACTATTAGGACAGTGTGGTATCGGCACAAAGATAAAGGTACATATCAATGAAACAGAACATAGAGTACAGAAATCAACCTACACATATATATCCATCACTTTGCAATAGAAGAGCCAAAACGGTTCAGTGGGAAAAGGATAATCATTTTTATATAAAGATTTTATTTTTAAGTAATCTCTATACCCAATGTGGGGCTCAAATCTACAACCCTGAGATCAAGAGTTGCATGCTCTACCGACTCAGCCAGCCATGCACCCCAGGAAAATCTTTTTTTTAAGAGTATTTTCAACAAACATTAAAAAAAAAAAAAGGACCTTGTCCTCTACTTCACACAATATACAAAAATTCATTTGAAATGGACCAGAGATGTAAAATCTAAAATTATAAAATTTTAGATATAATTATAAAATTAAGATAAAAAAATCTAAAATTATAAAGCTTCTAGAAGAAAACACAGAAGATGACGGTAGGAAGAATCATGGCACCCCATAGAGGTCCATGTGCTACTCCCTAGCACCTGTGAACATAGCAAAAGGGACTTGGCAGATGTGATTAAGTATTTTTTTTTAAGATTACTTATTTATTTATTTGACAGACAGAGATCACAAGTAGGCAGAGAGGCAGGCAGAGAGAGAGAGAGAGGAAGAAGCGGCTCCCCGCTGAGCAGAGAGCCCGACGTGGGGCTCAATCCCAGGATCCTGGAATCATGACCTGAGCCGAAGGCAGAGGCTTTAACCCACTGAGCCACCCAGGCGCCCCTGTGATTAAGTATCTTGAGGTGGGGAGATAAGCCTGGGTTATCCAGGTGGGCCCAGTGTCATCACAAGGGCCTTTATAAGGAAGAGCGACACAGGAGAGTCAGAGAAGTGAGGACGGAAGCAGATGTTAGAGTATTGTCATCAGTGCCTTTGAAGATGGAAGGGGCCACAGGCCAAGAAATGCAGGCAGCCTCCAGAAGTTGCGGTAGGTAAGGAAATGGATCCTCCCCTAGGACCTCCAGAAGAAACCCAGCCCTGCCAACACTAAGATTTTAGCCCACTGAAACAGAACTGTAAGAAAGTAAGTTTGTGTTACAGCTTCAAGCCACTGAGTTTGTGTCATTTGTTAGAGCAGCAATAAGAAATTTATACAGAGTATCGTGACTTTGGGACAGACAAATATTCCTTACAGAACCCAAAAGGCACTTAGCAGTAAGAAAGAAAAGAAAAGAGGAGAAATATAGAAAGAGGGAGAGAAGAAGGGAGGGAGGAAGGAAGAAAGAGAAAAAGAAACTTCAAACAAACAAACAAACAAACACCTTGATTGGACGTCATCAGCTCAATCAAAAGGCACTGTTAAAATAATGGAAAGGTCAGTACACAGACCACAATGAGCACTGAGTGAGGCACAGGAGTGTTGAATCATTACATTGCACACTTGAAACTACTATAACACTGTATGGTAATTATGCTTTAATTAAAAATTTTTTAAAGATAATGAAAAGGCAAGTCACAGACTGGGGGAAAATCTGTAACACATATATCTGAAAAAAAAAAAAAAAAAAAGAAAGAAAGAAAAAAATAAACAAGCCCATGATTAACATCCAGGACAAAAAACCAACCAACCAAACAAACAAACAAAACAATAAAAAACAAGCAAAAGACCTGAATAGACACTTCATAAAGTAAGATAGGGTAGTAAGTACACGAAAGGTTACACGATGTCATTACTTGTCAGGAGAATGCAACTTAAAGCCATGATAAAATACCACCATGTGCGATCTGAATGGCTGAAATTTAAGAAATTAACGATTGGCAACATCATGGACAGGTAAGGATACGGAACAACTAGAACTCTCAGCTTCCACTGAGGGGAACGTAAAATGGTACAACCACTTTGGAAACTGTCAAGTCCAGTAAGGTTAAGACATCCATTTACCCTAAGAGAACGTAATTGCACTCGTAGATATTCACGCAGAAGAGATCTCCATGCAGAGGCTTGTACAAAAATGTTCACAGCAGCTTGTGCCCACCCACAAGAGAATGGAGAAACAAATTGTGGTCTCAGCAATATGGAAGAATCTCGAAAATCAGGACATGGTGAAAAAACCCAGCCATAAAAAAAGAGCAAATTCCATTTATATGAAATTCTACCACCAACAAAACTAGTCTGTAGTGACAGAAGAGACCAGAGGCTGCCTGAGCTGGCAAAGGTGGGGGGATGGGGCGTGACTGCAAATGGGTGCGAGTGACCTCCCCAGGATGCTGGTAATGCTCCATGTCTTGACTTGGGGGCCGGTTACACTGGTGCATACAGTTGTCAGAACTCCTTGACCTGTACACTAAGATCTGCGCATTTTATTGTACGCAAAATATACTTCAACTAAAAACAATTTCTCACTGCAAGGAAAAAACTCATCTCGTAGAAAACTGGTTTACTGTTTACTTAAATTGTAAACTTGTTTTTTCAAGTAGGTTTATTTCTACCCCAAGACATTTTGTGGATTAAACAGCTGGCTAACTATGGTCTCACCAACACAGCTCTAATGAATTCAACCAGTACGGAAAAGATCATACCAACTTTTAAGATATTTGTAACAGAGCAGGGCACCTGGATGGTTCAGGCAGTTAAGTGGCGACTTCTGATTCTGGCTTGGGTCATAGTTTCAGGGTCCTGGGCCAGAGCACCATGTCGGGCTCCAAGCTAAGCGGGGATCTCCTGGAGATTCTTTCCCTCTCCCTCTGCCCCCAGCTCTTCACACTGACACATTCTTTCTCCCAAATAAATAAAATAAAATAAAGGCATCTGGGTGGCTCAGTCAGTTAAGCATCTGCCTTCAACTCAGGTCATGATCCGGGGTCCTAGGATCGAGCCCATGCCAGGCTTCCTGCTCAGCGGGAAGTCTGCTTCTCCCTCTCCAGACTCTGTCCTCCCCCGCTCCACACTTGATTTCTCTCTCTCTCAAATATATAAAAACTTTAAAAAATAAAAATATCTGTAATAGAGCAAAAAGCATCCCTTCTTGTAAACATTTGTCCCATATGAAGTGACTAACAGAGGCATCCCAATCAATGCGGAATCTCAACTTGCCAGGACATCTGTGAGAACCTCGGGGACCAGAGAAAAGCGGTTTTGCTCTCAAGCAGCGGTGTCCCTTAGACCAGACAAGTATGTCTAGTTATGCCCCCGCCCCCGATGCAAATGTGGGTCTCTACCCCGGTGTGCAGTTTTTCACCTGTGCCTCCTCCTCCAGAGGGCAGAGGGCAGTGTGACTCATCTCTACACCAGCCTGGCACCTACCCCAGGGGGAAGGGGGTGATGGGGCACCTGGGGCAGGGATCAGCATGGGGCCCATCTTAAAGCCCTGCTTACCTCGTAGTCTTGCTCCCCAGCGCCTCCGGCTGAGCTGCCCACCAGCACCTCCACGAAGGCCGAGCCGTCATTGCCAATGTCCACGCTGTGTATCTGTTCCTCCTTCTCCAACTGCGGGAGGGGGAGAGCCACTGTCAGTGCTTGCACTGCCCCTGGCCTCACTGTGGAACCTCGGGAGAGGGATACCCACCACATCTCCTTGTAATGTCAGCTCAGTGACTGTGGGTGCCAGGGTGAGGGGTGTCACCGTGTCCCCCGCATGTAGCACAGGGCATGGCCCAGAGTAGGAGCTCAGAAAATTTTCCCTGGATGAATGCATAAGCCCCATGCTTGCCTCCCCAACGCCTCCAGACTCTGCCAGATCTGTGTGGAACCTGCCACCTTAGAGCTCTCTTTGACACCACCTGCCAGGCTTCCGACTTCATTCAAATAACCATGCATACAAATGGCACATCTGTCCCGTCTCCCTGGTCACATAGGACTCTGAGGAAGCTCCCTCAGGGTACAGGCCTGGTGTAGTTTTGCTCACCAAGGATTTCTGGGTTTGAATCCCAGCTCTGCCATACACTGCCGAAATGGCCATTTCAGACAATCTTTGGAGCCTCGGTATCCTCATCTGTAAAATGGGGAAAATCCCCAACTCCAGGAGTACATGCGCCAATACCAGGCCACACTGCACCGCATGTAGGAGGCACCGTGCCCGGCCGGTCAGGAGGCACTGTCAGTCAATCCTCCATAATTACTCTTTTTTTTTTTTTTTTTTTAAGATTTTACTTATTTGAGATAGAACAAGAGTAAGAGAGAGAGAGTGCACAAGCAGGGGGAGCAGCAGGCAGAGAGAGAAACAGACTCCCTGCCAAGCAGGGAGCCTGATGCGGGGATCGATCCCAGGACACTGGGATCATGACCTGGCTGAAGGCATAAGCTTAACCCCCTGAGCCACTCAGTGCCCCGTAATTACTTTTTTTTTTTCAAGATTTTATTTATTTATTTGACAGAGATCATAAGTAGGCAGAGAGGCAGGCAGAGAGAGAGGGGGAAGCAGGCTCCCCACTGAGCAGAGAGCCCGATGCGGGGCTCGATCCCAGGACCCTGGGATCATGACCTGAGCCGAAGGCAGAGGATTTAACCCACTGAGCCACCCATGTGCCCCACTGTAATTACTTTCTGAAGGAAGAAAAGAGTAATCTATGTGGAGGAAGGCTCCCCACCAAGGCTCTGCCATTCCTGTCTTGACAGTTAAAGGCACAGAAAGCCATGTGAGGGTAGAAGGCAGTTAGGAACGGCTGACCCAAGTCTACTCTCCAGTTTTAGGCTCTTCTCTTTGGCTTCTAGAATCACAAGCCATCACAGCTCTCAAAGGTACCTAGTCCACTGCCCCAGGAGCATCCGACGCTCCAGACGGCCCTATCACCTGCCATAGAGAGGTCGCCCAGACTTTGCCCACCCGCTGCCACAAACAGGAACATCCCTACAAGGGAGGAAGGAGCCTGGACTTCAGGGGAGGCGAGCTTGGGTTCAAATCCAACCCTGCCATTTCCAAGCTGTGCAAGCCTGGGGGCCACGCAACCTCTCTGAGCGATGGTTTCCTTTTGTGTGGAACGGGCGGGCTGTCATAATAACCCTCCTTCTGAAAGGAGCTGAGATGACTCACAAAAATAACACTGCAGGAGCACTTGCAGCAAACACTGAGGCGCTCACGTTGCAGTAGACACGTAATCCGTGCATCTCCTCTCCTCCCAACCGCTCTGCCAGGCGGGGGCTATTATTACCTCCACTTAACACACAAGCGACCGGAGACAGGAAGCGGTTATGTAACTTCCCTACGGTCACACAGCTGGTGAGTGGCAGAGCGGGGCCTGGAGCTCAGGAAGGCTGGTTGGGGTCCACATGCACTCCTCTGCCACATCACAGGTACGCTAGGGAAAGAGGCGGTGCTGAGGGAATGGGCTCCCCCTGCCTTCACAGCTCTGAACCCTGGGACGGTGTGCGGTGCTGTCTAGATACACAGGTCCTAGTCTGACTTCTCAGCCTCCTGCTACACTTGATGTCTCTCCTCCAGCCGTGCTGGCCTTCCTTCCGTCCCAAGAACAGAATGGCTCCTTTCCACCAGAGGGCCTTTGCACTTGCCATTCCCCTTGCCTAAACCACTTTTCTTTTTCTTCAGTTATCACAACTTAATATTATGTAACAATGCTTTTTGTTTGCATTTGTCTAGCATCTGTTTCCCCCACCAGACTTTTAAGCTCCATGAGGGCAAAGACAATATCTAAGTCATTTCCCACTGTGTCCTGAACACTGAACGGTGTATGGTCTGTGTAATCCTAGAGCAAAGAATTTCACCTTACCCCTTGTGCCTCAGTTTCCTAACCTGTAAAATGGGCACAGTGACAACTTCTAACAGCGAGAGTCGTTGTGAAGATTCAAATGACGGCTACGTGTAAAGCCCCTTGAATAGTGCCTGCCACAGACCAAATGCTCCATAAGTATCAGCTGACACTGTTCCCACAGAAAGCCTTTCATATGTTCCTGATGGACAGATGGAAACCAGAGAGATGGAAAGCACCTGGCAACCATTCGCTGAAGGAACAAATGCCCCCTGAGTTGTAAATTGGGCTCTACTCTTCCTAACCAAGTGGCTTTGGTGAGGTAGTTTCCTCAAGGTCCGCATTTGTCACAAAGGAATCATCATGACCAACACTTTCAGATTCTCACTGTGTGCCGGGGCCCTGGTGTCCTTGTTTCCTACTGCTGCTGGAACAGATGACCACAAGCTCACTGGCTAAAAACAGTATCTCTTACAGATCTGGAGGTCAGAAGCCTGAAATTTGGTCTCACAGGGCTTTAATCCAGGTGTGAGTGGGGCTGCATTCCTTCTGGAGGTTCTAGGGGAGAATCTGTTTCCGCGCCTTATTTCCAGCTTCTAGAAGCCACATGCATTCCTCATCTTGTGGCCCCCTCCTCCGCCTCCAAAGCCAGCAAGGGCATCACTCCAGCCTCTGTTTCCCTCTTCATGTCTCCTTCTCTGGTTCTCCTGCCTCCCTCTTTCCCTTATAAGGACCCCTGTGAGGACGCTGGGTCTCCTCTTCCTCCTCCTCCTCCAAGTAACCCAAGCTAATCTCACTATCTCAAGATCCTTAACTCCATCATGTCCATAGGGTCCTCTCTGCCCAGGTTCTAGGGATCAGGATGTGGACATCTTTTAGACGCCATGACTCTTATCTATCATGACTGGCTGAGCTCTTTGTGGGCCAGGCATCGCTGAATCCTCACCACACAACTACCTTAGAAGGAAGGGTCTGTTACCTCTCCCGGTGTTACAGATGGGCAAACAGGCTCAGACAGGTTAAAGAAATAGTTCACATGTCACACACGGCTAACAATGGAGAAAAATTTGACCCAGCAGCTGCCTGCCTACAGCCTACACTCTTTCTCAACTCTCCTATTTCAACCCTCGAGGTAAAAAGCCACTATCTTGAGGCGCCTGGGGGGCTCAGCTGTTAAGAGGCTGCCTCCAGCTCAGGTCATGATCCCAGGGTCCTGGGATCAAGCCCCTCATCGGGCTCCCTGCTCGGCAGGAAGCCTGCTTCTCCCTCTCCCATTCCCCCTGCTTGTGTTCCCTCTTTCACTGTGTCTCTCTCTGTCAAATAAATAAATAAAATCTTAAAATTAAAAAAAAGCCACTATCTTTACCTCTCCTCCGTGACAAAGCACAAGGCTCAATCTGTATTTTGAGTGAATGATTTTTTTCTGCATACATACTTCTACTTTGAACACGCCCACATACTGCCTTGTATTTCCTCTTTGTGGTAAAGAATTTCCAACTACTCTGTTCCCACACGGAGACAACCCAAACGTCCATCAGTTTATGAGCAGACATACATCATATGGTGTATCCATTGATGGAACAGAAAAGGCTGACACACGGGACAACACGTAGGAACCATGAGCGCGTGCTCGGTGAGAGAAACCAGACACAAGGGTCATAGTGTATGATCCAGTTTATGTGAAAGGTCCAGAAGGGACAAATCTATAGAGACAGAAAGTGGATCAGAGGTTGCTAGGGGCAGCTTGGGGAGCAGGGGAATAAGGAAAGGCTGTTGAATGGTGATGGGGTTTCTTGGGGCGATGAAAATGTTCTCGACTAGCGGCAGTTGATAGCTGAAAGCTGTCAAGATGCCAAAACCCACTGAACTGTATGCTTTATATGGTTGAGATGGTGAATTTCATGTTATGTCAATTTTATCTTTAAAAAAATGTGGGGCAGCTGGCCTCAGTTGGTTAAGCACCTGACTACTGATCTCAGCTCAGGTCTTTATCTTAGGGTTGTGAGCTCAAGCCCCACAATGGGCTACACACCAACTTAAAAAAAAAAAAAAATGAGTGTTGTGTTTGTGGTTAGGAGATGGGCAAGCATGAAATGCCAGTCATCCGTGGCCAGGTTCACGTGCACCATTCTCAGGAAGGCATAACTCACGGCAGGAAAACAAATGGGGCTGGGAAGGCTCACAAAGTTCCCAAGAGACACTGTGTTAAAAAACTGTTCCATGTCCAGGAAAGGCACGGTTATGCTCCGTTTAAAGGAATCAGATAGAACTTTACCCAGTGCCAGTAGATCTCCAAGATCTATTGTTATTTGAAAGAAAGTGGGGGGCGGGGGGGGAGGAGGAGAACGGTGCATATACAATGTACTTGGTGGAAGAGGCGGACAAACTGTTTATGGGGGCTCAGCGACCCCGGAGGGCCAGGTGAGAAACTGCCAACAGTGGCTGCCTATGGAGGAAGCAGGAGGGGGTGGGAACAAGCAGGGAGAGGGGGTGTAAACCCTTTTGTGCCTTTTAAATTTTGTACCATATACATATAATACTCATTCAAAAAGGTTAATAAAACTGGGGCATCTGTGTGGCTCAGTTAGTTAAGCATCTGCCTTTGGCTCAGGTCATGATCCCGGGGTCCTGGGATCGAGACCCTTATAGGGTTCTCTGCTCAGTGGGGGGGTCTGCTTCTCCCTCTCCTTCTGCCCCTCCTCCCTGCTCCTTCTCTCTCTCTCTCTCTCTCTCATATAAATAAATAAATAAAATCTTTAAAAAAAAAAGTTACTAAAACTGCAGTGGTGTTCTCCAGCTATTGAGTACTATACGGAAATGAGAACAAGCCATCCACAGCTACAGCTACCGACAGGATCGAAATAACAAACACGCTGAGTGACAGCAGCCACAGACGTCTATACCGTGTGCTTCCATCTACACAAAATTCAAAACGAGGCAAAATGAACCTGTGCTACATACAAAAATAAAAATCAGGATGGAGGGCGCCTGGGTGGCTCAGCGGGTTAAAGCCTCTGCCTTCGGCTCAGGTCATGATCTCAGGGTCCTGGGATGGAGCCCCGCATCGGGCTCTCTGCTCGGCGGGGAGCCTGCTTCCCTTCCTCTCTCTCTGCCTGCCTCTCTGCCTGCTTGTGATCTCTGTCAAATAAATAGATAAAATCTTAAAAAATAAAAATAAAAATCAGGATGGTGGTTACCCTGTGGGGGGCAGTGACAGGAAGGAGAGAGGGGGATCTGGGGGCCTGGGCCCCTCCTGTGACTCGGGGGTGGGTGGGGAGTACGAAAGTTGCAGTCCAGGAGGATTCGCTGAACCGTGCCCTTCACGGTACACCTGTTACACATTAAAGAAGCAAAGAACAGCTTAAAACACCACAAGGGCAAACTGAGTGGTCAGAGAGCCACTGAAAAACCACCACGAAACGAGCACCACATTGCTACTAGGCATGTCTTCCAAAGAGCGCACATCAGCGGGGCCACAGAGCTACCTGGACCCCGTTCCAGCTATGCCCTCTGGCCCAGGAGCAGTGAGCCCAGAGGCTGGAACTCCCTCCGGGAGCCGCTGACTGGTTAGCCACGCAGCCTCCGTCGTCAGCGGGGGCAAATAAAAGAGGTGTGTGTGCGGCCGTCACCAGCAGGGGGTTGCACCCTGTGTGGCAATCCAGAAGTTGCATAATAGAGTTGGGAGGAAAACAATACAGGGCAGAACGCTCCCCGGGTTAGTCCATAGGAGTCGGTGTCCGGACACGTCTGCCTTTCCACTCGCTTAACAAGAACCAGAAATAGTGTTAGGTGAATTCGGAGTCACACTGCATACTGGGCATCGCCAAACACAATCAGATCACCCCAAGTGTCTCTCACGCGGGATAAATTAACAGCCGCTATGATGCACTTGCCCCTGCCCCATGTGCTTTATTCTCAACGAGGGAAGCAGGATTCTGTGAGAAGCTAAGTCCACTTCTGGACGTCCTTTGTTCAGAGCCCTTCAGCTCCCAACTCATCCAGAGTAAAAGCTCAAGTACTCAAGTACTCATAGGGGCTCTTGGGCTGTCAGCCCATTGGGGGCCCTCCAACCCTGACCCATTAGCTCATGTCTCCTCCCTCCTCCCCTGCCCAGCTCCACTGTGCTCACACTGGGCTCCTTGCTATTCCTCCAGCATGCCAGGTCACCTCCAAGTCTGTTTCCTCCCCACATCTCTATGTAGCTCACTGTGCTCAATGACACCTGCTCAGGGAGGCCTTCCTGGATCCCAGGTCATAATCTCAGGGTCCTGGGATCGAGCCCTACATCGGGCTCCCTGCTCAGTGGGGAGTCTGCTTCTCCCTCTACCTCTGCACCTCCCCCAACTTGTGCTCTCTGTCTCTCAAATAAACAAATAAAATCTTTAAAAAAACAAAAAACAAAAAAAACACCAGGCACCTGGGTGGCTCAGTTGGTTGAGCGGCTGCCTTTAGCTCAGGTCATGATCCTGGAGTACCAGGATCGAGTCCCTCATCAGGCTCCCAGCTCCATGGGGAGTCTGCTTCTCCCTCTGACCTTCTCCTCTCTCATGCTCTCTCTCTCGAATAAATATTAAAAAATAATAATAAAAGAAAAAAAGAAAAACCTCTTGCCATTGCCTCCTCCCCCAGCTGGAACATTCCCCTCTCCTCTCAAGGGTTTAAGTTTCCTCCACAGCATTCACCATCCAACGTGCTTTCTGCATTGGTTTGCCAGTCTTTCCCTCCTAACGTGAAAGCTCCACAGAACTAACATATTTTGGTCTCATGTGTCTTTGTACAGCCCCAGGACCTAAAACAGTGCTTGGCCTATAGAAGGTGCTTCATAATTACTCAGTGGATGAATGAACATGAGAATCCATTCACTCCGAAGTCTATAGGTCCTGCCCCCATGCTGACAACTTCCACACCTCTGTCTTCATCTAGGTCCCGTTCCGATTTCTGACTGCGGCCTGGACCCCAGGTGTCCCGAAGTCACAGCACACCTGCACATCCCAACTGAAGGTATCACCTTCTCAAGCTGCCACTTCTCTGGGTTTCCCATTTCAGTGACAGCTACAATATCTCCCTCGGTATCCCAGACCAGAGAGCCCTGTGCTTCGCTCTGGCCCCTCTGGTTCCTGCATCCCTGTCACGTCTCTCCTGCCTCTGGTCTCTCTGCTCCCATTGCAACTGGGGTACAGAATGGAATGTGATTCTCCCAGGGTCACCTGATCCTAAGAGAGCCCCGGAGAATCATCACCCAGTAATAAAAACACGAATCCCTCCCTTTATACAAACATCCACCTGTTGACAGAGCACGTTTACAGACATTATGTCACCACATTTTCACAATGACCCTGGGCTCAGATCTCATTATTCCCAATGGACAGGTGAGAAAACAGGTTCAGAGAAATGAAAAAATGTGCCCGAGGTCACAGAATGAGTAAGAGGGAGAGACGGGGACTTAAATCCAGGTTCCAAGACTAAATCGTGAGCAACCTGTACCCTCCCTCAGTTTATATATTTATTTGTCTGTTTGTTTTGTACCTCCCTCAGTTTAAAACACTGGCTCTTAGCCAAGTGCCATAACCTCTCTAGGACTCAGTTTCCTCATCTCTCAAATGGAGATAATACTAAACTCTAGGTCATGGGGTTTTTATAGATTCAATATGAGGTGATCCACGTGAGGTGTTCAAAACCAGAACTGACCGTTTCAATGTTGAATCAAGGCCAGCTCTCATTATTATTACTCTGCTAAGGACTGAGGAGATGTTTAAATGTCTAAAATCACAAAGTCTTATAGGACCGCATATTTTTCCAGGGTAGAGAATGCTCAGCTTCTCTCTAATTCTTGAAAAGGCTCTGTGAGCCCAGATTTTTTCGGAACCACTGGGCGAGAGAGGGACCAAGAAAATGTTTGACACAATCACGTAAGCCTTGCTCTGCAACATCCCTCCCCAAAGACCCTTCCGTTCAGAAGGAGTAGTGTCAAGATCAAGAAAGCCAGTGTGTGACAAAGTGTCCAGAGCACCAATGTGGGTCTGAGCCTTAGCACACCCTGACTGATGGTGATAAGGGCCCCTGCATCACACCAAGCTTGTGAACAGCGACACCATCCAGGCCAGTACCCAGCACAGAGCAGATGCTTCAAACACGCTCAGCGCTCTTTCCTCCCACCAGTTTCTTATCTGTGACAGGAACAGCCCGTTTGGAATTCTGTAACCATCCGGGGTCAAACCACGCTTTCCTCCGTGCCTCCCTCCAACTTCACAGCATTGGGATGAAGAGTGGGTGAGAGCACTCAGAAGAACCTGGCAAGCATTCTAGAATGGCACTTAGCCTGGCCATGTCACTCCTCCCCCACTCCTGCTTCAGTTTCCCCATCTTTAAAATGGGGCTGATGGGTTTCCATGATCTTCCAAAACACCTTCCAACCCTGAGCCCACTAACTTTAGAAGGCAGGATACTGAAAATGATTCAGTCTGTTCCAGCTGAGGAAACTGAGGCCCAGAAAATAAAAGCAACTACCCGGGCCACACATTGATTCCTATGGTCATCCTGGCCTAGTCCTGGAACCACCTTTGTCCTCTGCTAAGGGGCACAGCAATCACACTGCCCATTTTCCAGGTAAGGAAGCTCAAGTCCAGAAGGGAGAGTGTCTTAACCCACTGCCAGTTGGCTCAAGAGCGGTGTCTGGACCCTGAGTCTCCAGACTCCTATAGGAAGGAGACGAGGGAGGGCAGGATCACCTGGAGCACCACGGAGATGGTCTTCTCGCCTGCCTTGGCTGCTCGCCATTTTCGGTAAGTGTCCGCCTTGAGAAGGTTTTCTGCACAGTGGGTCTGGAGATAAGCGTGGAAAAGGGAAAGTAAGGGTACAGGGAAGAGAGCTCGGTCCCCGACTCTCAGATTATTCCTTTGAGTCCTCCCGAGCCCTCTGCACTCCCCCAGATTTAAAAGTCCCCGTTAATCCCACCACATCCTGCCTAGAGTCCCCTATAACATTTTCTCCTGGATGCTCCCCAGTCCTCCTTTCCTGACCGGAAGTTCCCCTATTCCACATCTCTCCCAGAATTCTCTCATAGTCTCCTGGAATTCCCCCACGACCCGCCACAGACTTCCGTGAAGTTCCCTTTCACACTCCCAAAGTTCCTGTAGTTACCCCGCATGGATTCCCTGACGTCTTCCAACCTCCCCCCAAGCCAGCTCCTCACCAAGTCCTGGCTACTGCAGGACACCACATGGCGGAGACGGATCTCCGGCATGTCAACGTCTTGGGCTTCGCCTGGCGCGAAGGATGAAAGAAGGTCCGAGTTTGGGGGGCGTTCGGGGCGGGGAGGGGGCGTTCGGGGCGGGGAGGGGGGGGGGGTAACTCCCTGCGCGGGCTGAAGTGCGCAAGCGCACAGGCCTCGGGCCTTTCAAACCGCGGCGCGCCGGCTCTCGCGTCGACGCCGCGCAGGCCCAGTCGCGCCTCTCCAGAGCGAGGCTCTTAGTTCCCTAGCAACGGGCTTTCCTCTAAGCCCCGCCTCCCGTCGACGTTCACACGCTGCTTTCTGGGCGCCTGGCAACAGGAGCGGCCTCCGGGATTGGCCCCTAGAAAAAAATTCGCCATTCTCATTGGACGACGCATCACCACCCAAACTGAAGCCTTAGGAGTACGCAGACCTGACTGGTTTTTCTTAGGGAAGCTGGTGCATACCGCTACGGGATCCTCTCCAGCGGTTCCTACTGTTACATTCTTCCCCGCTATCCCACAGCCATGCACACACGAACAAAATATCCGATCTCTCCAGGGTTATGCCTGAGGCTAAGAAAGAGTGGATCAAAGACCTAAATAAGACCCAAAGTATGCATCCAAACCAGATACACCCAAGTTAGAATGCTTTCACCGGTGCCTCAGTTTCCCAATATGTGCCCTGTGGGCATCTGTCTCCTACCACGCCCGCCCCTGCCTGTTGACAGGCATCCCTCTGTTCGGTCCCCGTGAGACCCAAAGGTGCAGCCCCAGGCGGGGTTGGAGCTGGGGACAGCCCAAGCACAAAACAGGGAATATAGCCAAGCGCACGAAGGAGGAAGAGAGACAGGGCGCCTAATCCCCCGCAGAACGAGCCTGAACATGCTGGGCGCTCCCAAATAGGGCCCCACCCACGCTGGGTGCCTCCTTGGAAAGAGAGAGAAGAGAGAGGGGATCTCAGTCCTAGCAGCCACCCTACACCTACAGGGAATCAAGTGACCCGACTCTGACCTTGGACCTCAGGCCAGAAAACAGAGAAGTGACTTTCTGGGCCTTGATGGAAGAGGCAGCTAGAAGCCTGGAGTCCTGGGTCCCTGCAGAGCAGGTGGCTGAGCATGAGATGCCCATGCCCCTTTGGATTCTGGTCCCATATCCTCAACCCAGAGCCACAAAGGCCTGCCCTGAGATCTGACCTCAGCTATTTCTCACCCCAGGGTAAAGGTGGATCCAGACCCGCCCCTCCTCAGCTTCCTATAAGGGCTGGGGACCTGGGACTACAGGTTCATTCACCATGAGGACTCCCATGAAACCGGTGACCTTCCTGCTGGCCTTTACACTGCTCTGCACCCTCCTGGGTCTGGGTAAGTGATGAGGGGTCTGGACCATGAGGACCGTGAGAGAGCACTCAGAAAAGCCCTGGAGGGGGAAAGAGGTGGTGCCCTTGGAATTCAGATTCTAGGTGAAGGCAGAGAGTAAAGGAAGAGAAAGCCTGGGGCCCCAAAGGAAGAAAAGCTCAAAAGCTCATGGGACTGGATCCTTGAGAAAAGAGGGAGCTTGGTGGGCTCTTAATCCTCTTTCCCCCAAGCAAGTTCTCAAAATAAGACATGAATTCTAGGAATTGGACGACGGCATGACTAGAAAAGGGAAAAAAAAGCTGGGGGGCGGGCGGCATTGGGGGGGAAGAGATTTCCTTTCTCCCTGGATTCTAGAATTCAGACTCCCAGCCCCCCTTCCTTTAGATGCGGGAGTTCAGACAGCTCCACCTTCCCCAGGACCCAGGTGTCTGGGCCCCCAGTTGCCTCCTCTCTTAGGGCCAAGGAGTCCATCCACTCTGCCTTCCTCGTCTTGACTCTCCCTTCCTTGTCTTGACTCTCCCTTTTTTTTTTTTAAGATTTTATTTATTTATTTATTTGACAGATCAGAAGTAGGCAGAGAGGCAGGCAGAGAGAGAGAGTGGGGGAAGCAGGCTCCCTGCTGAGCAGAGAGCCCCATGCGGGGCTCGATCCCAGGACCCTGGGATCATGACCTGAGCCAAAGGCAGAGGCTTTAACCCACTGAGCCACTCTTGACTCTCCCTTCTTGATCTGGGATGAAGACCCCGGCCTCAGATTCCCCTGCCTGAGCTTCTTCTACCATTCCCAAGACCTACACCTGTTCTCATGTCCAATAAACAGCTGGACCATGGGGCGCCTGGGTGGCTCAGTCGTTAAGCATATGCCTTCAGCTCAGGTCATGATCCCAGGGTCCTGGGATCGAGCCCCGCATTGGGCTCCCTGATCAGTGGGGAGCCTGCTTCTCCCTCTCCCACTGTTCCTGCTTGTGTTCCTTCTCTTGCAGTGTCTCTGTCAAATAAATAAATAAAATATTTTAAAAAGAGAGAGAAGGAAAAAAAAATAAAAAGAGAGAGAAGGAAAGAAACAGCTGGACCTGAAGCTTCACAAAAGCCCATGGAAACCTTCGCCAGGACCCCTCCCTGTCCCCGAGCCTTCTCAGAGGACCCTAGCGTCCCAAGTCCGCAACCTTGTAATTAAGTAAACAGGCTCCCTGGTGGAGTCGCTTCCCGCCCCTGGAAGCAGCTTTGCTGGCTTCGCCACAGCGTCCCAGCCAGAGCACTGGACAGTTCCCTGAACAGCCATCAGTGCTCCACCCATGAACAATTACGGAGACACCTGTCCCTCCTCCCTCAGGACTCCAAATCCGGCCCCCTTTGCCCCATCTCGCTCTGGACTCTGAAGTCGCACTCATGGTCCGCTGGCCACGCCCCTCATGTTGACGGCCTGGCTCTCTACACTGCAGGGTGCCCGCTGAGCTGTGAAGTGTGCAGGGGCTCCGGGCCCACTTGCAGCGGGAGAATGAAGGTCTGCGAGGCCGGCCAGGACGCATGCGTGGTCATCGTCGGGGAGTCGTGCACAAGTACGAGGAGGGCCTGGCGTCCCCCGCTGGGGAGGTGGTGGTGCCTTCAAGGGTGAAGATAGCTCCGCGCCAAGGGAGGGATCATCACGGCGCTCATGTGGGAGGTCAGGGAAGAGGGAAAGACGATCTTGGGGCGGGGGAAGAATAGAGAAGACAGTGGGTTGGGAAGAATGTCATCAGGTTGACCATTTAGGGTGAGAGGGGGAGGAATCATCCAAAACAGGAGGACGAGACCCCCGCCCTGGGGATGGTGGGGGTGGTGCTGGCTGGAAGGGACCATTCTTGACAGGAGAAGGAGATACTGAGACACTGAGGTCGAGGGAGAGACATAAAAGGGACCACACCAGGCAGGAAAGGAAAGATAACGCTGAAGTATGAAGCAAATCATCGTGAAGAGAAGTAAATGGAGATGGGGAGGCAGGTGGGTGACATGGGAGAGGAGGGTGTGACTTCAATGGAAGGGACCACCCAAGACCTGAGAAAAGATGGGGGACTAGGGGAGTGATGGAGAGACCACGGGTGGGGAGGGCGCGGAGTTTTTCATTCAAAGCAGAAAAAGACCATTGGTTAGGCACAAGAGGAGGGATGATGGGGTCGGGGCAGGTGTGAAGGTGGTGTCAGGGGCTGAGGGCCACCTGGATTGTAGGAAGAAACCACACCTACCAGAGAGGTTATGTAAGGAGGGTGGGATAGAGGATTGCAAGCTGCCCCACCTACCCAGCAGGCATTGGCAGGTGGGTGAAAGGACCCGAAGGGCTTGAAGAGGCCACCCCAGGAGATTCGAACCCTGCGAGCCAGGGAGAGGAAGATGGGAAAAAGCACCTTTTGGGGGTGATGAGGAAAATCCTTGGGTTGGGTTGGAAGAGACCACCAGTTGGTGGGGAGGAGGAAGGCGGGGGAGACTGGAAGAGACCACTGCAACCAAGACGTGGGGACAGCAAGAGACCACCTTAGAGGATATGGGTGTTGGATAGGGGCAGCTCCCAGGGTTTGTTGGAAGGCATTCGGAAGCTGCAGGGGAAGGTGGAGAAGACTGGGAGACACCATTTCACACAAGAATGGGGGTAGCCATAGGTAGGACCTTTGGAAGATGAGAGTGGGGCGGGCGAGGGCAGAAGGGACCCTGTCAGGCAGGCTCCTAGGCTTGGCAATGGGGAGCTTCAAGAGACCATCAAGGCAGATCGGGGGCTCCGGCAATGAGGCAGGGGGGGGGCGGGCTTATAAACTACTCTAGACCATACCGCAGGCAGATAAAGGGGCATGGCTTTGGGATGCTAGAAGAGACCTCCCTAGGCAGTCGTGGGGTGTGGGAAGTGCAGGACTGGGCGAGCCCCCTGCCTCTGGCTGGGGTCCGCGCTGAAGTGCGGTCAGCTGGCGCTGCCCGAGCCCTCCCTTCCTGTTCCCCGTCCTTCAGAGGGCCGCCACTCACTGAACACCTACAAGGCCTGCATGAAGTACAGCGACTGCTACTCGGGATTCGTGTCCACCACAATGGGCCCCAAGGACTACATGGTGTCCAACACCCGCTGCTGCCAGAGCGACGGCTGCAACCAGGGCTCGGTGCCCCGTGAGTGCCAGCGCAGCCCCGCGACAGCACTGGCTTCCAGCCCACCCCCAGGGCCCTGCTGTGTGCACCCCCACCTGCCTCTGACCCTCGCCCCTCAGTTTCCTTACCCATAGAGGCAGTGTCCCTTTGCAGCCCATGTTCCCCCCAGGGGTTGCTGTGAGATGAGGGAAGGCTCTCATCATCCCCTTGCCCCTTACCCTCCGCCCTCATCCCAGCTCCCCAGAACAATCGGACAGAGAACGGCCTCCAGTGCCCAGCCTGCGTGGTGCCCTTTCAGGAGACATGTCCGGGGACCCAGTCAGCTCGCTGTGTTGGCCAGGAAACCCACTGTGTCTACTTTGCTGGCAACGTGCAGGCTGGTGAGGCGAACCTGGCTCTCTAGACAAGGGAACAGGGCCCCAGAACTGGAGGCCCATACTGCCAGGTTCTAGGGGAGATGGTGGCTCCGGGGATCTGGGGGAAGGCATGCGGAGTGGGGCATGGGAAGGGGGGAGTGGCGGGGAAGCCCCCTGGGTGGTGAGGAAGGAGGGGTTAGGGGCCGACTCCATTCTGAAATCCCCCCTTTCCCAGGTCTCATCAACCCCAAATTTGCCACTCGGGGCTGTGCTACCGAGAGTGCCTGC